TAATTAAAAATATTTAAATATAAATGTTATATAGTACACCACAATGCAAAAATTTTTAAATTTCTTGTACGTTGCGTAAAACTTTTCGATGATACTCGTATTCTTAATCTAAAGAAATCTGGTAATTCGCCGCATTTAATACCAAACTGTCACATTCGTCAGATTCTAGTGAATTCGGCATGCATAATAAATCGAGCGAAAGCGCGTACTTATGTCGCAATATTATTTTTATTCTCTATATTATTTTTAATTAAGAGATGCATACAAAAACTTCATGCGATTGAAATTTTTATGAAATTTCAAAAAATAAAATAAGTTTTTATCATATTTCCTTCAAAATTGTCTCATCGTTTTTTATCTTAAATTTTATATTAATATCAAAATTTTTCAATTGCAATAAATTTAATCATTATTTAAATATTTAATTTATTTAAAACGTAATAAAAATAACTTAATTAATTTTTGTTTATTTAGCAATCGTCTGGATGTTAATATTGTCATCTTAAAATGTTAATAAAAATCTTAATGATAAAAATTAAAAATCCACTTTATAATTATCGTTCATATGTCAAATGTCAATTTAATTTTTTAATGTAATTTAATATGTTTTAATATATGCATTTTTCTTTTGTTAAAAGTTATTAATGACCATATTTAGAAATTTTTAAAAATTAATCGACTTTTGAAAGATTTTTTGATTGTTATCCTTAAAATATATTATACATTTTAATATTTGTTAGATGATTCACAAGTTATAACTTAAATATAATAATTTAAAGCATCACAGAAAAATTTTAAAATGAATTTTTTGAATTGAGCTTATTTGAAATTGAATTAGTTTTTTTAAAATTATACCAAAAAATTAATAAATGAATTAAAATTTTATTTGAATTATATTAATTGAAAACCTCATTCTAATTTTTCACTGTTATACTGTACAAATTAAAATTTTAGGTTATGATTTCAATGAAATACTTTTAGTATTGTTTTTTAATTTTTGCTATTTGCATGATTTTATCTCATGTTCAATCTGATTTTTCTAGTTGTAACTTGACAGATCTATGCCAAGTGCTCTTGGGGTGTCCGGATATTTTTGAACTTTGTAAGCCACGGATGTAAAATACCCTCAAATCCTTTTTTATCACTGGTGGTTTTTTTTTGACTTTATCTGTTTCCTGTATGTGAAAATATGCAAAATAATGAATAGTTGATTTTGTCGTTTCGCTGTTGTTCTAGGTTAACATCGGAAATCGTCCACCGTTCCCATTCTCCGCTTTTATTCTGTTTTTTTACAATTAGGTTGAAACTTTGGAACAATAAGGTTTTCGAAAAAAAGTGAACACAACCTATATTGCTTTCAAGCAATTTTTTATTTATCATCGGTTCCAGTTAAATTTATTTTTTCTGTAAGTTTCAGGTTCTTTTTAAAATTATTTTTGTGTTTTTAAATTTTATGTTAAATTTTAAGAAATCAAATTAATTATTAGCGAATTTCTTTCTTAAAAAAAGACCCTAAAAATTTTCTAAATTTAGTAAGTTTTCTAATCGAATGGAATATATGCACATTTGTATGCACATATTTATGTACATGCATTTAAATACATACGTAAATCTTGTGTATATGGTGTGCATTTATTCGAATCTTTAAAATGACTCTTCCTATGTATATATTTACGGAATATCAGAAAAAAGGCAAATTCAAAGTTCATTCATTTAACTTTAACTTGATTGGTTTTTGAATATAAAAAAAACGAATAAAACTTGAATGAAAATAAAGTCTGCAATTTCAAATTCTTATGTTTGTTTTAGTTGTTTACATTATACAAAATTCTTCTTTGTTTTCTTTTTATTTTGATTATTTTTAGTCAATTGGTCGGTCAATGCAAGCGAAAGTTTGAGTTCTTGAAACTGATATAGCCTTAAATACACACGAGATATTTGAAACGCACCTTTAATTTTGAATATATATATATAAATTTATGAGCGTATGCAACGTTCATTTAGACTGTAGGTGTACAATGTGGTCCGTTTAAATGCATATTGATTTGTAATAAAAAGAATTTTCCTTATGTCATGTTAATAATTTTCGGAAACAAAAGAAAATTGACGATTCATTTAACCTGGAATTGTTCAAACAACAAAACTACAAAAGAATTATTAAAGGTATTAATGAGCTAACACCCTGAAACGAAAGATATTTGATGAAGTATGTAAACAAAATTTTGACATTGACATTTTCCAGAAGTTACTCTTTTATGTAATTTATAGATCAAGTCCTTTTTGGTTACCGTTGTTAAAATTTTTAATTGTAAATTGTCACTTAAGTAGTTAAAACCAAAAGGATAAATTTGAAAAGCGAATATTTTATTTAAAAAATATTTTATTTAACCAGAAAAATGTTTGGAGTTTACACTTTTACAATGAGACACCTTGTACATCAATTAATGACGATGACTTTTCTTTAAACTCAAAAAGTTCATATTGAGAATTTTTGAAGTTCAAGGTTAAAAGGGATATTTTAATATTCACTTGATTTTTATTTATGTTGAATGGCTTCATATAGAGTTGATACTGATTTGAAAGTTATTTTGCATATTTACCGGCTTTGACGCATCTTTATTTTCATTTGCTTTGTTCTTTGTTGTTTGTTTTTTTTTGAAAGATGTCATTGTATCTTATATGTATGAATATCCACAAATATTTTTGCGTTTACAACATAATATTTTATTTTAAGATAAAAGTCATAAATTAAGCAGATATTTTGGAATATCTTGCAAAAAAAAATTATTAATATTTTATCAAAGAAATTTTTTTTCTTAAATGAAATTAAAATTTATGTAATAAAATTAAAACAATATTGACAACATAAAGGCATTGGGTTGTGGCAATTTTTGTTATTTAAAAATAAATTTTGTCATTTTTGAACTGAGATGTGTGGACAGTATTTTAATAAAGAATGAAAAAACCTGATAAAAAGCTACAAAAAAAATTATTAATAGAATTTTTGTCAAGAGATTTTAATTAATGTTTTCAACTCGCTATATGAACTTAAATGGACTATGGTTTATGTATGTAAATTTTGGTGTTAAATTTAAAATGAATAAAAATATTAGATTACAATTTTCAATTAATCAAATTTTCCCTAAAATAATGTCATAACTAAAAAAATTTTTTTGTGAATTTCTAAATTCGAATCTCTTAATATTACAGCTCAATTTCTCGGTTATAACTTTAAAAGTATTCGCCTTAATTGACCTTAAGAAGAAGGTTCACTTGTGCTGATAATACCACCAAGGTAATTGAAGTGAGTGACATGCTATATTGGGTTCAAGTTAGCTTAGTTGATTTTTAGACCTATTCTTCGGCCTGTTCGCCAAGTTTGGTCAGTTTTATACTTATGTCTATGAATGTATGGAATAACAGTACTATGTCGCCTGCGAAGTGAAGATCTTTTAGGCAACATCAGCTCTTAGTGATGTTAACCCTTTCATTGCTCCATACTCCGTTTATCACGGTTAGCTCTAAAAAGCTGTGGGAGTAATCCATCAGAGTGCTCACCGGCGTTTTTCTTTATTTTGGCTATGGATTCCGTTATTTCTCTTTTTGACGGAGGGATCTGGTTAACTCTGCGGACTCATCTCCTCGATTATTCACTATATTCTTGCTGTGCTTGGCTCATGGGGGTGGGCATATTCCCCAATGGCTGAAAAATTTTCAATGCTAAAATGCTGCTTTCTCAATACAAGTAAAATAAAATCAGCATTTTAATAAAAATGATGATTCTACTAGCACTAGCTGATTGCTGAGCTTTTGAATAAATTAGATTAGACTCGAAAATTTTATATTTCTTAAATGAACTCGAAAATTTCCTACTTAGTACAGTGCTCTTTAAATGATTTCAACTTTTTTCCGTAATTATATGACTTCCCATCATTCATCTTTCAAAATTTTGATGAATATGAAATAAATCAGAGGTTAAAGAATTCAATATAAATATGTGAGACCGGAAAGAATAATGCTTGCTAAAATTATATAAGTTTACCAAAATGTTAAGTTATAATGCGAGCTCACATTTTATATATTTATTATATATATTGTACTGTGTATTTTAAGAGCAAAGTTGGTTAAACTTAATGGTGTATTCAAATTGCGTATTGTTTAATTTACTAATAGGTATTCAAAATTTTATTCAAAAATTTTCTTATTTATATTATTTAAAATAATTTTCTATTGAGGTTTTGAAATTAAATCAAATGCAGTTATGCGCTTGGTTAACAAATATCTCAGAAATATATGTATATGTAAATTTAAATTTCCAAATAATTTAGTAGATCTTGAAATTTTTTCAACCCGAGCAAAGAAACCACATTTTTCTTTTCTTTTACAAAATTTTATTACACAATATTTTTTTCACCATTATATTTTCAACCATGAATTTTCCTTATACACATTATAGCTTTAATGTACATACATATACATTCATGTATATAAAATTACATTATTTTCTGTTATTTAAAATAAAACTTCCTTATTTACATAATGTTATATGTTAAATTAACACAATTGGATTTAATTCTTTCTTTATTTTTTATTTCATTTTTGTGTGCTACCCATTTAAATTAACAATTTAACAATTTTCATATAATGGTTACTATGTTTCAGTTATTATACATAAAAATTTGTTATATTATTATAAAAAAAATCATGCACTATTTATTGTTACCAACGTTTTGTTTTTATGTTGTCTCTTTCTATTTTATTCACATTTTTAGTGTGTACTAAATGGCTATATGGGTAGCTAAATGAAAGGCAACAAATTACATGTTATTTGTAAGTTTTATAAATGATACTGCCGTCAAAGTTACATACATATTTTACAATTTTTATTATAAGAGATTAAATAAAAGATACTTTAAAATAAATAAAAATTAAATATTTTTTTATTGTATTAAATTAAATTATAAAAGTAAAAGGGTAAAATATAGAGAAGAGATTGTAAAATGGGTAAGAAAAAAGGTGGATCTAAAAATAAATTAGCACGAATGTCTGAAGAAGAGCGTGCAAGATATCTTCAGCATAGAGCTGAACTTGAAGAAGAAGCGAGAAGAAGAAAACAACAATTGATTGCTCTATATATGAAGGTTTGTATATTAACTAAATTTGAAATATTAAAGATTTAATTTTTTCTCAAACTTTGAGTGGCATATTCTCTTCCTTATTTTGACAATTATGCCCTTTATATCTATATTATTATGTGGAAGAGGCGCATAGAACAATTGACTCTAATCGATTTATAATATTGAAAAATTAAAATTTTTAGCCAAATTTTCTATTCGAAATATTGAAACCTCGGTTGGGGTTTCGAAATATTGAGCCAACAATAAACTGTTTTATTTTGATGAAAAATTAAAAGAGAAAAAAAAAGACTATGTATGTGCAGGGAATACGCAGGATACACTTCAATTAAAAAAATTTTTTAGAAATGATATTTTTACAGCTCTTTAAAATTTTTGTTTCTACAAATTTTTCTGTCTCTGATTATAAAAAGAATACCTTGTATTGATAATTCAATCTAGACCATTTTATCTAATACACCTTTGGCCTTTTAATTGATTTCCTGATCTGGTGTTGTGACCATGAATGTTGCAGTTGTTTAGTATTTTTAGCAAAAGTTTTTCTTCACACTTCAATACCATACGTTACTACGCCATATGAAACAGACTGAAATCTGCTGACAACTTAACATTATTCAGTACTCTACAACCTATTTTTTTAAATAATCGCTCTGGTTTCATTGACTAGATCATTCACATGGTAGTTTCAATTCAACTCAATATCTACATATATTGTAACTCCCAGGTATTTTTATTTGTCTACTGATACTATTCTCTTGTCACCATAAACTACAAATAGGTTAACGTTTTTAGTTTTTATTAACATTAGTTTTGTTTTGTAAAAGAATGTGTTTAGGAATATTTAAAATAATATACATTAAAATGTGCCTCTCAAATCAAATCCATTCTTCAAAAATTTTAATTTGTAATTAAATTTTTATTAATTTGTTTTTGCTTTTCTTTCACAGAATAAATTAAAACGTGAAGAAGCATTTACACGTTTAAATTTAGCAAAAATAAATCAAGAATGGCGTTCAATTTTACGACAGGTTAAATGTCAATCATTGAAAAGAGAAATAAATGATGTTGAAAATTTATTTCAAGATGCATTCGAACAAAAGAATCGTATTATTCAACAATTACTTAGTGATTTGGATGAAGCTGAAGATATGTATTCAAATTTACAACAAAGTCATATGGAAAGTATTGATAAAATAATGTGTAAGTTTTTGAATTTACAATTTGAAGTTACTAAAACTTGTAATAAATAATATGCGATTTTTTTAGCAATACAATTTGAACGAATGGATTATTTCAAAAGTTCTTATATCGAACAGAGAAATGAAATTATATTTGAAGCTGATCAGGATTTTAAGGAGTACCGTGAGCAACGTGATAAAGCTCACCATTCCTTAGAAGCATCATATTTTACTTTAGAGAAAAGTGGTGAAAATCAATTTAAAGCATTGCATGATGATTACTTACAAAAATTGGATGATATTAAAAGTGAGGTGTGTGACAAATTTTGGTCTTCCTTTTTTAATAAATATAGTATTATGTTTGAATTCATTTTGGTAGGACATACATCTGATATATTTGAAGTGTGGTGAATATTGATACAGTATGGCGAATATACATAATATATGATGTCATATATTTACAAAGATTTATGTAGTTTTAACAACACTGAGGCTGAATGCCTTTATACTTTCATAATTTAAGTTAGAATGTTCAAAATAGAATGATGTTATATCGAAGGTTCACAGAAGTATCGATAATCGAAAATGGACATTATAATTATTTTCTTAAAGTATGTGAAATTTCGGAACAGTCAGTTTGCTTTAAATTATTTCTTGATTGCATTCCACGTTATCTGAATAACAAAAAATACATACTTATATATTTTTATAATATTTTATTAACACAATATTTTACATATAGATTATTAAAATGTAGTAATTTTAATATATAGATTTATTATTAAAATGGTGTAACATTGGCATAACATACATATATATATTTTGGTTAAAGTACAATTGTACTTTCATCCCAATCATCACAATTAGCTTTTGCATAATCTGTCATACAGTTGATTAATTTTTTAGAAAATTCACATTTATCCTTGTGTTGTTTTTCAATTTCAATTAAATGGAAACAATCCTTAACCGATTCTGTGTAAAATTCTCTTAAATCATTATTTTTAACATCTTTTGTTAATGTTTGTATAACTTTACGTTTATCTGGATATTCATCATTATTTAACTGAAAAATTATACAAAAATATTAATAAAATAATTAACAGTATTTGTTTAAATGAATAAAATGCTAGTATAGATAAGAAGAATTAGGCAAAATACATTCGCAGACACCTACATTGGAATTTTATAAAATACATAGATTGACAATAGATTGTTTATAAATTTGACATAGATTGTATATATGAATTGTGCCAATCATAATCTATATCAAGTAGATTTTTTTGAATAAACGTAATTGTAATAAAATACTCAGGAATTATAATACGAATGAACTATCAACATTTTTATTTGTTATGAATTAAGATATGATCTGATATTTTAATCTTATATTAATTAATTTAGCTGCTTATAAACGCTATATTTAAAAGACGTCAAAGTACATTCTATTAAAAATACGTCATTCTAGTTTAATTTATTATTGACATTTATTATTTGTGCACAGTCAAAACTTTGTTATTTTTTTTAAATTTCAAAACACTGATGACATTTTTGAGTAACTCGTAATGTAAGACAATTTCGAGAGGTTTATTTTTTTTATTTCGAAAAATCTATAACAAAATTACATAAGGTCGATGGATCAATATATACTTAATTAATTTAATTTTATATTAAAGTTGAGAAAGACAAAAAGAAAAACCCTTGACATTTTTATGATGATTCGGTAATTTTCTTATTGGTAAAGTGAACTTCCTCTTTCATTTTATACAATACACTTTTTCCTTTTTGTTGCAATCCATTGTAAGTACCTACATATATACTAATTTCTTGTATCGTAATAAAGTATATAGGTATACAAAAAGGTAACAAAACTTTTTTTTATTTATATATTTGCTATTACTTAATAATGAAATTGTTAAGCCACAAAAAACATAATAAAATGTAAAGTCTAAATAATTTATCAACCGGAAAAAATAACCATGAAAAGTTTTTACAACATCTAAGATATTTACACAAAAATATTCACTGTCGTACTTGCTTTTAAGGTAATTACAAAAAAATTTACTAAAGTACCTTTAGGGTGAATAAAAATTTAGTAAGAAAATAGTATTGATACTTTATTTTTCTCCTATAAATATTCTAATAGCGATACGGGTGAATTAATGATAAAAAATATTTGCACCGTTGTGACTTCAAAAATTAATTATACAAATCTGCCTTCCAAATCTTCCTTTTTATATGAAGATTCATTATGAAAATGCCCTATTCGGGTAGTATTCGGGCAATATTAAAAGCTAAAAATCAAGATAAATATTAATGTGCATAATATGTACATATATGAGAATTTTATAATAATATTTGAAAAATTTTTAATTAAATATTGAATAATGAGTTTGAAGGAAGATTCCGTGCTAGCTTTATATAATAATTGAAGGTTGAACTGCAAGATGACATTTAATAAATATAATTTCATAAAACGTTGAAGTGCTTTTCTGTTGTGTTTTCTTTGTTGAAATTTCGGTCATTCTATTCAGTTAATGAAAAACACAACAGTCGCACCAACAGGGTAACCAGAGCCCGTCAAGTAAAAGAGAAATAAGTGATACCATACATAAATTGAAAAACAACAAGGCAGAAGGCAAAAATTTGTATTTTGTCTAAACCCTCTTCAAAGCGGGCTTAGACAAAATAGTTGACATTATGCATAATGAACAAGATTTGTTACACAGAACGAATACCAAAAAGCTGAAAAATGGTATCATAACAAAATTGCCGAAAAAGGGGGATCAATTTGATTGTCACAACTGGTGGGGTATTACAATACTAAACTCTGTAGTGAAGGTGTTAGCACTCAGAATTAAAAGTAAAATAATGGCTGAACTTAGAGAAGAACAAGCCAGTTTTAGGAGTGGACGAAGTTGCGTCGACCCGGATATCACGCAAAGAATAATTATAGAACAATCAGTTATGTGGCTGCTGTATTCATCTCGCCGCTGTATATCACCTCCGGCGCTGTATATCATCTCCGCCGCTGTATATCATCTTTGTTGACTTCGATACAATTGACCGAAATACACTATGGCGCTCCTTAAGAAATAAAGGAATTTTTCAGAAAATAATCAGTAACATTAAGGCATTATATGAGAACGCGGAACTGGCAATATTTCATTATGGGCGCTTGAGCGATCCAATAGAACTGCGGACGGGTGTAAAACAGAGTTGTCCAGTCTCTCCCATTTTGTTCAATGTGGTGCTTGATGAGGTTATGAAGAAAGCGACAAGTTCTGCTAGAAGAATAAAATAGACCCTAACAAATAGATTAGAAGATCTAGAATGCGCAGACGACGTAGCCCTGCTTGCGCACACACATAGTGATATGCAGAAAAAGATGAAAACCTAAAACAAAGTGCTACAGGAGTCGTTCTTCGAATATATGTGAATAAAACAAAATTCCTGAGAATAAAAACAAGTAACATCGCTCCTCTAAAAATAAACAACAACATCATAGAGGATATCTCAGAGTTCTGCTAGGTGGGTGGTATAGAATGGCATTTGGAAGACTAAGGTCGGTTTAGAGGCAGCAACACCTCGAAAGAGGTACCAAAATCAGAAAATCCGTACCGCTATATGGAAGTCTGCTATAGTCAAATCCGTAGTGCTATATGGAAGTGATAAAGAAGATGAGGATAAAGAAGAGCTATATAGATAAGGTGCAGATCGTCATTAATAAATGCCTACGAAGAATATGCGGAATATTCTCGCCAGAATAATCAACAACAAGGATCTCTGGGAACTGACGGGACAGGAACCCGTACATGCTAAAATTAGGAGAAGACAGTGGAGCTGGATTGCCCACACCCTCCGAAGGCCAATATATAATATCCCACGAAAAGCCCTTGAATGGAATCCGTAAGGTAAAAGAAAAGTAGCTAGATCTAAGGAAACATGGCGCAGATCAGTGGAAAAAGAAATAAGAGTTGCCCAAAGACATGGTCCGAAATAAAACAGCTAGTGCAAAACCGGGTCAGATGGCGAAGCTTTGTAGATGACCTATGCTCCCAAATTGAGTAGAAAAAGAGGGGGAAAAATTCAGTTAATGGAATACAAAAATACTAGCGATCCAACAATGGGGATGCTTTCACTATCACTCATATATATCAGTTTAATGTTTATCTTGTTTTTCGGTTTTTTTTTGTTTTGAAAACATATATACTTACCATATTTAATTCGCCGAAAAAACAATGAATTATACAAGCACCATCATGAAGCTGTTTTTGTTTATCTTGCTGTTTTGAATTTGATCTGGTATTGGTATTATTATGATGATAATTCCAATTATTATTATTATTATTGTTATTTCTAAAATTATTTTGTTCATTTTGTTCATTATTACCATAAATGTTGTACGTATTACTATCAAAATCTCGATTTACATTATTGTTATTATTATTATCATTATTTCTTCGATTCATATCATAGTATAATGAAGCGGGATTACCATTATTATTACCACCAGTATTACTACTACTACTACTATCACTATTGACAACTCTACCATCATTCATATTATAATCTAATGGAATACCATTATTATCATATCTATGATAATAGTTATAATTATTATTATTTTCATTATTATATGATAGTTGGTGTTGCTGTTGTGCTTGTTGCATTAGATGCTGTTGTTGCTGTTGTTGTTGATAATACTGTTGTTGTTGGTGTTGTAATTGTTGTTGATGTCTATTATTATTGTTGTTGTTATTATTGTTATTGTTATTATTATATTGATCATAATTGTTAGCAAAATATTTTTGTAAATTATTTTTTTTAAACATTTTATTATGATAATTTGTTCTTATTTGTAAATGCTCACGATTTTTTATACGATCATTATCTTCATTGTTAAATCCATCATTATTATTATTGTTATTTAAATTTTTCCATGATGGATTACCATCATTATTATTACCGTTATTATTATTATTGTTATTACTGTTGATATTATCATCGCGTACATTAAAGTATAAATTTTCAATACTTTGATTTCCAATCGTTTTTCTCACACATAAATGAATAATTTTACGTAATTCATCATCAGACGGCTCATCTTCCATACGACATTTTAATGCTGTTATTGAAAATTCTTTTATAATAATAATTAAAACAAGAATTAAATTTGTAAGAAATTTAAAAAATTTGGTATTCATTTTTTTAGTTTATTTCGTTTTATTTTAATAAAAATATTGTTAGAAATTCTAAAATAAACTAAAATTTTCAGTGGATTATAAGGGCTTATTTATACGCGTGTATTTCCTAATTATTTCAAATCTGAATTGATTTCAGGATATGCCAATCATATTATTTAATATATTTGGTTTTGTATTTCAAAATAATATAATGCAATTTTAATATGACATTTAAATATGTCTAATTATCATTTTAAAATTTGAAATATAAATTGTAAAATATATTTGTAAAAGCCCTATTTGAATTTATATAAGTCGTTTTATAAACATTTAATTTGAAGTTTTTAACTGTCAAAATATATTGTGTAATAATTGAAATGTGATATTGAAAAATAATTCACAATAGAGCCTAAAGTTAAAGTTTTTAAATTGACCTTGAATATTTTAACTTGATGCTTCGAAGATTTAAAATTAAAATAAATTTTTTGGAAACTAATTTTAATTGTCCGTTTTAATTTTAAGTGCCGCATTTACAAAATTGTTGTATAATTTATGTATAAATTTTATTCATCGTTTGAATTATAATTGAACCAATTTGTTTATTGTATTAGGTAGAAATTATTCAATTAAATTATATATACCTTTACGTAATCAGATTTATTTTAGTAACGTAACCAACTTCTTTGTTATTTTCTTTCTAATTTTTCTGTCAAAAGCAATTCTTGCGGTTATATAATTAAATTGACTAATTTTCCATTCTTATCGTTACTAAATTCGTCTCAGTGTAGTGCATACCCTACAGCACCTTCTGGAAATGAACTATGTCAAACGCACCTCGGGCTGAAACACGTCCAAAAACGTTCCCATAGTTTCGAGGAATTTAATTCTTGGCCCAAAAAGAAAAAATTACCTCCATTGTCACAGTTGGGCACATCTTCATGGCCCTTATGGCACAAATGCATGCGAGCCACTGCAAACCCGGTTTTTCGTAGACGTTCTAAGGGCCAGTGCTACATATGTAAGGAGCGGCACCACTATCATGGTATATACATCCACCACATGGCAGACAGGAAACAGCCCCATAATTTCATTCAAATACCATGTTATATTTATATGTATAAATATTAAATCGATTTTCTTTTTAAAATATAAAAATATGGCATATATGAAACTATTTGGATTTTTTGCTTTTTGTATTATTTTTGTATAGATGGCAATTAAATTGGAACACATAACCAGTACTCGTGAGGAAGAAATCGAAAATTTATGGAGTGAGCATCGCAAAATCCTAAATGATTATGTTGCTTATATGGATGAATTTTATGCTGAATATTCAGATCTGAGAGAAAAAGATGAAGAAAATACAGCAAAAATTAGAGCCTATTGTCAAGAGGTAACCAAATTAACAAATCAATTGACTGATTTAAAAATCGAAGCCGATAATACAATCGAAGAAGGTGAATCACAAGTTACCTATATGCAATCGCATCGTGACAATTTAAATAAAAAATATTTGCACTTAAAAAGGAAACTAGAAATGTCTTTGAAAAATCATGAAGATCAGTTTCGTGAATTAGGTGTTTGTGGTCATGAATCATTGACAGTAAGTTGTTTTTCCTATTTTTCAAAATTTTCACCAAAACAATTTGTTATTTTGTTATAGACTTTAAAAAAATATTACAAAAAAGGTGAACAATTAATGCAACTTGCAGCTGTTTGTCGACGTTTAGAATCAGAGCGTGAAAAAGTCATTCCATTTGACTTTGCTAAGAGGCCGGCTTTTGAAAAAAGTGCAGATGAAATGAAACAACCCCCTGAAGATTTTAAAGAAGTATGTGTCTACAAATTTCTTTTTTATTCTTATTTATTCCCACATTTTTAGCTTTTAATTTTTCTCTTTTTTCAATGTAGAAAGCCTTAGAGAATTGGTATAGCATGGAGTTATTTTGGGAACGAGTTAATCGTGTTAAGTTAGATAATGCATGTTTAAAAGAAGAAAAATTCGGATTGGAAAATGAAAATGAAATGTTAAAAGCTCAACTTAAAGATTATTTAACAGCAGTAACTATAGCATCTGGTCCAAATGGTAATATTCATGATAGAATGTTTAGTCGTCCAAGTAGCATGAAAGTTCAAAAAGTTGTACGAATTGATATGAATGATTTTAAAAAACCTGGATCTTCACCAGCTGGCGGTGTTCATCCAATGAGTTATAAAAAATTAGGTATTAAAATTAAAAGAAGACCATACACTTGTGTTGAAGCGAATTTATCAAATGCTGTACGTTCACAGAAACTAATTGCTAATAAAATGACTACTGCTAAACTGGGTGCAATAGTTTGGTAAAATAAAAATATTTTTTTTTTGGTTTTTTATATATTCCCAAAAGTATTGAGAGGAATAAAAATCAGTATTTCTAAAATAACCAATTTTTTTTTATGTTTTAAGTTGAAATGCCCAAAAATTATGTATGAACCACAAATGGATTTTTGGTTTAAGCATATTGTGTAATAAAGCATATATTATTGAGCTCTGTTTGAGTTTTTTATCTTTTCAAAAGCAAGCAAATAAAATTGGAGCGGCACGTTTAAGTAAGGCAACTCAGTAGTCGCGAGAGCAAAGTCCCTTTTCCCGCCAGCGAGAATAACTTATTAAAAATTTTTAAGTCGCTACTATCTTTAATATTTACACACATTGCCCTAGACACTTTTGCATAATTAGTGAAAATTATGATTTAATTCGGTTAATTATATTAAATTATTAATAAAATATTTCATATGTATATATACTAATCTGAACTTAATATGATATAAAACAACAATAAAATCTCGAATTTTATAGCATAATTTTAAAAAAAGAAATAAAAAATTAAGGTGGACGCACATTCAATGCACACATATTAACGTATATTTTTTATGCTTAAAATAAATTGTTAGTCTAAATCCAAATGGCAGCCGCGTTACATCTGCGCATATCATAAAACGTCATGCATAATTTTTAAAAGATATACAGAGTATTTTGAACATTTAAACTAGACATGTTGAGAATGAAAGAGATAAAAACATTTATTAAACATCTTCGGGCGAAATTTTCTATATTATATAGACCAGTGAAGTAAAAATAAAAAAAAAACTAAATTAAAAATAAAAAACATTAAAATCGTTAACTGTATATTAAGTTGCGTAAAAATTATGATAATTTCATTAAAGCGATATGATTTTGTTTTTCTTTTTTTTTCTTAACTAAATTTGCGTTTATAATTTTGTTCGCCTATAAGTTAAAATTATAAAATTTTAATAAAAATTTGATATAATACAGTATGTATCACTTTGGTACTACTGTGACAGATGACCTACTTTTGACGTTACTAAACAGTTATTCTCAACTTTATGAGTTTACAATTATATAAGAGGCTGTGTATAGTAGATGAAAGATGCAAGACATTTTGTACGGAATCAGATATAATGAGCATATAGTTTTACCTATTTCTCCATATCTTAAACTAATGACATTGCGTCTATACCAAAATGCATGTCTAACTTTAACTTTACATAATTAACTAAACAGTTTTAATTTCTGAATAAATTAATTTGACATTAGATATGCATTTTGGTAGAATCACACCGGCTAATTGATTTGTGTCTGTAGAGATTTTCTCAAAGGTTGTCAAATTATTGGGCTCTTTTGGAAGCGACTAAATGACTGACATCCTGTTATCCGAGTACTGTAATTTACCAAATCATGAAGCACGAAAAACGTTCAGTACTGTAATTTACCAAATCATGAGGTAGAAGTCAATTCGAATTCTATAGGTTCAAGCAATTAATCAGGTATGTAGTCAGTTTCTTGCAACATTTAATATTGTTGTATGGTATGAAACACATTGTATTACTATTTATTACATTATTTAATTTTTACATAAATATTTTAATATTATACAGTAGTAGCGCGCGATCCAATTAAAATAAATATAATATTTTTTATTAACATTAGGTACAAATCTGGATTAGAAAAGCCCGAAAAAAAATTATATCTGTGTATTAAAAAGAGAGTTAAGTGATGTTACGTAAATAACAGTTTTATATGATTAGTATATGGATGTGTTTGTGTCAAATATAGACGATATGGTTTCAAATGAAAATTATTAACAGGCATGGTATATCAAACAAAATCGTTGTCCATTAAAATGTTTAACTATGTATATGAATGTTAATTTGTTTTTTTCTTAATTTTTTTCTTCTTTGCTTTCTTAAAAATATTTTAAAAATCTCGTCTATTTTTATATTGGAATTTGTTATTACATTCATACATAATATATATGTACATATACTTTGAGGTAATTAGTCGAGATTTTGTAGGTGGATGGATATTATAGTCATAAATGACTGTCGAAAATTTTTAATGGGCTAATTAAGCTGATGCATGACATGCAAGTAATTTTATTAATTTATTGAATATTTGGATGATGAATGATTTTCAATTGAAATTTTATTCTAAAAATATTTCATTATTTTATTAGTAATATTACGTTCAAATATCTGTCAAAAATCAATTATATAAACATAGAAAAAGTTTAAACGTCAAAGATTTGTTCCTATTTAATGAGAACATACATACATATATGTATGGTATTGGGTTTTTAATTGAGACATACATCAATTCTTATGCATCACTTTAATGAGTCAAAAATATTTCAAAATAAAATTTTTTGCAAAACAATGAAAAGGAAGTTCTGATTTTAAAAATTTTGTTTTTTGTTTTGTTATACTGGAAATTTTTGTATACTAGAGTAAAGACATATAAAAACTTTTATACATCTAAAGTTTTATTTATACGTTTTAAGTGTTATAAAACGTACTTAAAGTAAAACGCTTTAATTTTGACGTTGGTTTTTAGTTTCTATGTTATAAAATATTATCTGATATATGGAAGTACTGTTATACAGAAGTAAAGGTTATCCTATAAAACTGTTATACTTAAGTAAAATACCGTCGTATAAATATATTGATCGGAATATCGATAATCTATTGGAATAAATCTGTATTTATATGCTACCTTATATAGACCAGCGCATAGGCGGGAGTTTTATTAACTTGGAGTGATATCATTAACTTGGATACTTGATTTGCAGCATATTTTGATTCTTGTACATGGTGTACCATACATGTGTATGTATTTGTTTTTCTCTGCTTTATACACGATCAAAAGTATTTACGAGTATTAAAAGAGACGTGTAACATTTTTACAAAAATTTATTCTCTTTTCATACTTTTCGTTTTTATAATAATTATTCATAATTTTGTGTGATAATAAACATAAAGTAAAAGTTTAATATCACATCAAATATTTTTATTACTATACTTAAATTAAAAAATAATAAGGAATTCCCTTGTTTAATGAAAAAATAATTTTACTAATTTCCCTATTTACAAAAAAAATTACTACGTACATATATGATATAAATCTACAAGACAATGAAATGTATGAATAATAAAATTATGAAAAAAAAAATTAAAAAAAAAAAGAAAAAAAAAATGTCAGCTTGAGTCTTATAACAAGCGTCCCATAAAAATATGGCGGAAATAATTTTATATCATTTTATATGATTACTGATCACTATGAAAAATAAAGAAAATTAAAACAGAAAAGAAACAAAGCATTTTCATTTTTCATTTTGGTTCCTTATTGTGTTTTATTCCAATATAGCAAAAAATATTATCATAAATTTGGTTGTTGCATTTTCAAGGATACCGTTATTACCATAACTTATTCATACCGTCACAATGAGCATAAATTCAATTCGATTCTCTCCTTTTATGTATTTTTTTTGTTTTTCTATATAATTTAAATGAAGAATTTAAAAATTAAATTATCATATAAACAAATTGTATGCATGTACGTATGTATGTAATATGAATGTGATGATATTTTTATAATTTATTAAAAAAAATATTATTTGACATTGTCACATTAAATTGAGTATTAAATGTTTACTCATTAACAGTAAATCAACACTAAATTCTACTCAGTTATTGTATTTATTCTTTTGCTACTGCATTGCTAAATATTAATATAGAGTGTTTCAAAATTCTAGGAAAGGAATTCTAAAATCTTAGTAAATACGAATGTATAAATTAATGAGTCCAAGTAAAATTGTTTAGCGACAGACGTTTTCTTATATACAGATCAATTACCAACTTAATTTACTCGAACATACAATTGAATTAATTTTGTTAATTGCCATTAAATATATACATATTTAATAAGTGTTTGACATATGCATCATGCCGAATGTATTTGACATATACATCACATCGAAGGGCTCAGGAACAATTGCAATTTTTGTACTAGCAAATATTACATTTGCTGCAAATGTATAAAACTATATCAACCTGTTATTGTCAAAATATAATTCTTGCAGCACTTTACATACGTATAGTGAGAACGATGTAAAATTAAAATTTTTAGTTTAATTTTGGTACACCTTTTATATATTTACATATTTATTTGCTGTTTTCGTAATTACTGTATAATAATAATGTAAATGTATTTATTTATGGAAAAAAATTAAAAGAGACAACAATAAGATCATTCTTTTGTAATATTGTGATAAAAATTGATTTGACTTTGAGTAGAAATAAAATGACGTTGTTTGTCTATTGACATTGTCAGTTTTTTTAAATTTTAAAGCATTTTTCACATAATATTATGCGTGAGTGTCTAGAATTCTAATAATAATTTTTGTTAATTTTTTTATTTATTTAAAAATTCAGAATAAAGTTTTTTAATATTGGCACAATTCAAATTACAAATGACAGGGATTTGAATGACAAAAAGAATTGATAGTAATTTGACAAATCTATAAAAATTTGAGTTCAAACTGTAATTGAAGGAACATAGAGAGAATTTTAATTATAATTTAAAATAAATCATAATTAACTTTGAGAGAGATTAATTTGCATTTTAAGAAAAAATATTAATTGCTAATTTAATAATCAATTTTTTTTTCTCCCCCTACTTTTTCTCATCTCTAATCTTAAATTAAATGAACTGATAATACGAACTTATAGTTATTGAATTTTCATTATAAATTTTTAAATGTTAATTAATTTCCTCGAAATTCTGATAAATGTTTTTTTATCATTTTGAGAAAAAAAATAACAAAGAGAACAGTTAAGTTTAAAAAAAAACTATAAATAAATAAAAATAAAGTTGAGCTTCCAGGTTCTTGGACTTTGAATTAAAACATATTATGAGTATAATACAAGAATATTTACGCTATTAATTGTTAACTGTTTAATACTTATACGTACATACATACATATTAATTTCTATTTTCTATATAT